CGGCGGCCTGCTCGCCCAGGCGGCGGAAGATCTGGCCCATGCCGCCCTGGTTGACGACGGGGTTGCGGAAGTTATCAAAGCTGGTGGTGGTGCCGCCGTTGAAGCCCACGCCGGCGCTGGTGAAGGAGGTGCTGCCGCCATAGTTGGTGATGGGGGCGCGGTCGGAGGGGGCAAAGCCGGCGGTGCGGCCGCCAGTGGCAAAGATGTTGGCCTTCTCGCCCAGCTCGCGTCGAACCACTCCTTCGGCGCCCTGGGTCAGGCCGCCGGCCTTGAGAGACGCGCCAAGCGTGCCAGGAGACAGCAGCAGGGCCACTGCGGGTGCAAGGTAGTGGGTCGCAGAAGGCAGTTAGACAGCAGTTCAATGCTATGCGGCGTGGTCACTGTAACTGGCTATAGATAGCCAAAAGCGTGGGAGCAGGAACGGCCTACTGGACCAACAGGCTCGGGCAGCTTGCCGCGCAGCTGCTGCTGTACCGCAAGCCTTGCGGTACAGCAGCACGTCCTGAGGAGTGCCTCACCCGTCAGGAGCGCCCAGCAGCCGCGCGCCATCGTGGCAGACGGAACGCCCATTTGAAGAGTGGTGAACGGCTGAAGTTGATGTCGAAGGGGCACTTGCGGCTCTGTCCTATCGGTGGTGAGGTGAGTAGACGGTGTCACGCGATCGCTGATTTGAACAGTGGGTTCGTCGAACTGTTGTTTGATGCTCTTGTTTTGCAAAGTGAATGCACCTCCCTGCGAGGGGGCTTATAAGGCGGCATTGCATCTGTCCAACACGGCTGCCGCGCCACTGCCGCCCCGGCCTGCGACACCGCTGGGCAGCTGTGGTCGCTACCGGGTTACTAGCCCAGGCGTTGTGCAGCGGTATCCTGGAGCAGCTGCGGCAGCTCTTGTAAACAGTGAGGCTGACTTTCGTGTGATTGTAACAGCCTGGGACCATGAATCCAGAGGTGCATGCGGGTGTCGGTCAAACAGGCCGGCCGTGGTGGGTTGGCGGCGCAGCGGCGCAGGTGCTGTGGCCTTGGCGGTAGCCGGGCGGGCTGGCGGCGCGCTATGGCAGCCCGAGTGTCTGTTTCTTTCCTCCAACCATTTGTTGTCTGTACAATCCTTGTCACTCGCTGCAATGGGGCGCCATATCAAGCACTTTTGCATCCACTTGCACGCTAGTGGAACCCTCTTGAGCTGTTTGCTGCGGCGCCTCAGGAGATGTTCAGCAAAGGGCGCTCGACGCCCCCTGCCTCGCTGATCTCAAAGCGGCTGTTGCGGAAAAAAAACACGTGTCAGCGCAGGGCCTCCAATCGCACATAGCAGCGCCGCTTTTGGCGTAGCTTCGGCTTCAGTGCTAATGAGCTCAACCTCAGCATGCAGCATGGGGCGCATGCAGCAGGGGCATAGGTTCGTCTGCCTGGCTGGTGATCTCTGTTCCATCCTGAATTCGAATCCCATCCGGCCTAGTGTTTGCGCGTGGATATGCGCAGCCATGCACAACAACCATGCACTGCGCATGCACAGATCCAGGTAGAATCGCGCCGTGCTGTGCGCCTCTTGTGAACCAAGGGTGCCGTGGACGTGCGCAAACAACAACGCTTTGTTAGCTTGGTGCCGCTTGGTGCCGCAAGAGCCGCCCCAAAGCCAGGCGTCTCTGTTTTTGCTACTGGGATTGGGCTCCAGTTTTAGAAGTGATCCTCTCCGGGGCACCTGAGCGACTGTTCTGGCGCAGTGGTTGCAAGGCGAAAGCTAGGGCTGTCGTGCACACTGGGCGCCTGTGTGCAATGGGCTCCGGGCGGGCTGGCAGCCCAGACAGATGCATGCGCGCATACAACTCAACAACAGGGGAGCTGTGAGGCTGCCTGGGGCTCAGGGCCATTGTGAGCGAAGTGGGGGCCGCTTGGACGGTTTGAACAGGGACGTTCTAAACGAGAGGCGCACGAATAGGAGACAAGGGGCAAGCTGATATGCACCAGGGTCCTGCCTGTAGAACTATTGCACAGCATGAAAACCAACATGATTTATTCAGTTGCAAAGTCAATGAGATTGAGCACGTGTGCAATGAACAGTGAGTGAGGGCCTTGCACGTGGCCACAGGCATCCAGCAGACACTGCACTGCAGCGGTCAGCGACGCCGCAGCTGCTGCAAAGCTTGCTGCCCTGCTGCCACGCACGCGGCCGACGCTGCTGTCGCTGGGGCGTGCCATGGTGAATAATAAAGCGGACAAAAATGGGTTACATTTGGTGCATCTGTCAATCTGTGCCCTGAGCCTCAACATATAAACGGAGGCGGCATTGCTGCCGGCGCGACGCGCCCCGCCTTTCGGCGGCCAATCGCGCATGCGAATTCAACGCTGCGTTGAGCATTGTTTGAAGTCCCAAAAAGACTTGGGCATCTCATACTCTCAATAAACATGAACAACAACACCCGGAGCAGTGTTTCCAGCAGGCCAGCGCCTTAGAGGGCTGCGCGCCTGCGCCAGGGTCCCCTGATGACGCGCCGCACCCGCCCGCTCAAGGGCGGTGGGGCCGCCGTGCCAGCAGCACTCTGTTCAAGCCTTTGCGGCCGTCATGGTGCCGCCAGCGTTGATGACGGGGTTGCCGAAGGGGTCGGTCGAGCGCGCGACGCCGGCGGCGTTGGGCGCGACCACGGCGGCGGCCTGGCCCTTGGGGGGGGCAGCGGCCGCAGGCGCTGGCGAGGCGGGGGCCCCGGTCGCAGCGGGGGGAATGGTTGCGCCGGCAGGCATGGCGATGGGCTTGAGGTCGGAGGGCACTGACATCATGGGGGTGATGCCGTTGCCAATCTTGACGGCGGGCGCCTGGATCACGCGGATGTTGCCAGCGACGACGGCGGCCTTGGCCGCGGCAGCGGCGCTTGGCGCGGGCTTGGCGGCGGGCTTGGCGGCGACCGCCTGCAGGCTCTTGGCATGCGCCGCCTTGGCAGCAGGCGACGCGGCGTGCGAGGCGACGGCGGGCGAGGCCG